TATAATTTGTTGTTGAAAAAATTGTAGAATAAATTTTGTGCGAATATAATCTGTTATCTATGCATATGTAATTCATATATATTTATTCGTAATTTGGGAACTATTAAGAAATCCAACTGATATTAAATTCTTGGCATTTATATTTAGATTCTGTCAAAAATTATGAATTAATTTATAGTAAATTTAAAAAGAGAAGCATTAAATTATCTTGTTATGTTATTTCGTTCAATCAGTTCCACTTATTCTATTTATTTATTTATGTATTTACCCTATGAATTAAAATATCCTATGACTGACACGAATGAAATAAATTTTAATACAATTAAAATATATTTTATGGAGGAGATATATAAAGTAAAGAAACATGGGTTTTTTTTAAACATTTATATCTTTTTTTGTAGCTAATTTTAGACTAGATGGAATCTTGTCAAATGAGTAATTTTAATTTTGTTAAGTAGTTAAGGGGAAAAAGATTTTTAAGATTTTTATCGCAAAAAAATATTCGTGATATAAGTATATATGTTTATTTTTTCCTGCTTTTCTAATATTTATGTGATGTATTTTTTATTCTTATATATACGTACTTTATTTTTTTATCATTCTTTTATTATTTCATTATTTAAAAATCAAACTAATTTAATTTACATGTATATAATAATCTGTAATATTTTATATAAAGCAAAAAAATTATTAATTTTGCATTTTCGAAGAAAGTTGAGCCGAAACACGACGAATCTGCAATGTCGAGCCGACTCACGGTAGAAATAGAGCAAGCTCTAAAAACTTCCACCAATTTTCAAAAATCAGATTAATATTTTCAACTCTCATTCGAGAGCATATCAGATATTAAGCTGATAAGAACAGATACTACACTTTGATCTTAGCCAACAGGCCGAGAAGCGATATTATGTATTCTCTTTCAATACATTTTATATACTTTTTGAAGAATTTCACTTGCGAGAGGCATGCAAGTTAATTTGCCCTCTAGTGATAGAATACAGAAATAATATTTTATATTACAAAAATTAATAAAAAATGTTTTAATAATTTTATTTTATGGTAATTTTTATTTTGTTTTATAAATTTTCAAAATGAAAGAAAAATGCAGAAATAATTTAAAAATATAATAATATTAATAAAAGTTTCTATATTTTTTTTTGGGGATGTAAATTATATATATTAAGTTATATTAGTTTTTAACACAGAGAAATGTTTCTTTCAAAAAATCAAGAGAAAAATTCATAAACAATATTTTTCATTTATAGAATTAATTTGTAAAAGATTTTTGTTATAATTTATTTTTTTAAGCTTTCATTTTATTATTATTTATATATGTATAAACATACATATACACAGAGTGTTTTAAAAATTTTGTAACATTTGTAAATTAGAAATTTTTAAGATAATTTCAAACAATATTTTCCTTTGCAAAAACTTTTATTACAGCTTTGCTAATAGATTATTAACAAGAAAACATTGACTATTTATGAAAGATATAATCTAATCAAATCGCGATAATAGCGTCGACTACGTGCTATAGTGACTATAGTGTATATATATAAGATCTATTACTTATTTTGTACACAACTGTTATTTTCATTAAATAAGATAGTTTTTTTTTAAAGTTTTGTTAAAGAAGAACATTATTATATTTCTTACTAGTGTATTATGCGTATTTTTATTATAAAGTTCTTATAGTAAAAAAATGTGAACACATTAATATAAACTAAACTAATATAAAACTAAAATTTATTATTCATTAGAAAAATATATTCATAAAAAAGTATGACTAAAAATTAATTAATCTTAAAATTAAAATTTATTATGAAATTAAAATTCGAGTGTCAATGTACCTTTATATATATTTAAATTAAAAAAAATACTTTTTGAATATGTTTTCGAAGGTTAGGTTTATTTTACGACAAAACATTTTAGGAAAAAATATCAATCAATCATATAAATTTTTGATAATTGGTA